TTGTCATCATCAAAAAGGGGGAGATTATTTATCTCAATTCATATCTTTTGATGATTACAAAACAAACGGATGATACTAATACTTTTTGTAAAGACTACTTTCAGAAATGGCATTAAAACAGGACCGTGGACTCAAAGCAAAAAGAAGATCAAAAAGGTGAAAAGTGATGAGAAAGATGTCAGACGCACAAAAGGAGAGTATCGGACGTCCGACATTCATTGAGTAACTTCGGACGTATGAAGAACTCTGTCTCGGATGTCCGAAATAGACAAGCCAGGGTTTCAATGATTACTGATCATGATCGGACGCTCAACACCTGTGTATCGGACGTTCGACAAGCGTTGCTGCACTTCGGACATAAAACATTGGACGCATCGGCCGTCCGAAGGAATTGAAGAGGAACCTTCAAGTCTGCATCTCACCCTTGGACGCATGGTGAGAGGGGATCGGACGTCCTAAGAAGTTCAAGAAAATTTCTCAAACTCACTGACCTCGTTCGGACGCATAAAAACTGACTATCGGACGTCCGACGCACCAACGGCTAGTTGACTCTTCAGATGCCATGTATCCGTTGACAGCATTTACTGAAGAGTTTTTAGATCTCCTATAAAATGAACAAAGTCAACGACTTCAAAAAAACTTTGCACATCAAGTTTACATCAGATCGTGAGTGATTCAAGTGTTAGAATACTCAAAAGGAATATTTGTGTTCTTAGCTTGTGCATTTTTGTCTTATAGCTTTTCAAGTGTGACACAGCTTCTTCAGTAGTGTAGCTTTATGAGGGTTATCTGAGTGCTTGTAAAACTTTCTTGCGTGACCAAGTGTGGTTTGGGGCAAGAAGGAAGTGAACCTTCCATTGTACACAAGATATTGGTTGCAAGATTGTTCAACTTGAAGTAGTTTGTTATATAATGTGTTGTTCAAACTCAATTTGAGTTTGAAGCTTGGTTTGTTTCTCTACTTTCGTTTACAGTTTTACTATATAAACTGTTCACTTTTTCATTTTACAAACACCTGTACTTCCTTGTATACTGATCCATTGAGTGGTCTTTGAGAAAAGAAGGGTAGGCCTGAAAAAGAGTGACCTATATCTTAGCTGGTTTTAGAAAACCTAATTCACCCCCCTCTTAGGTTATCTTCGATCCTTACACATAAGAATCTTTCAAACTATCATGCAATTTTTCAATAAAAGATTCAAGATCATCATCAATTTCATCATCGCTTTCAAATTGAGGGTTAGAAGTTGTTACCTCATTATCTTTAATTGCCATAAAAGTCAGTTGAGCAGATTTTTCTTCCTCTTCAATTTCACCATCAGAGTTGCACTCATTTCATGTGAATTGGAAATTGTTGAATCTTGATTTTCTTCCTTCTTTCTTTTTCTTCATTGGACACTCACTCATGTAGTGTCCAAATTAGTCGCATTCATAACATTTGTCACCTTGTTTTTTGTTGGTTTCTTAATTTCCTTGTTTCTTGCATTGTTGAATATATTGGAATCTGAATTGCTAGGTCCTCCTTTATTGATTCTCTTTTTATTGAGAATTCTCTTGAAACATTTTGTGATGAGAGTAAGATCATTGTCATCAACATCCAAATCTTCTCCGTCCAAGAAAGTCGAGTCATCTTCATCTTGAGATACTTTTAGAACAATACTCATTTTTACCTTTGCATCTTCTTTTTCCTGTACCTTGGTCTTAAGGTTCAACTCATAAGATGCTAGAGAGTTTATAAGAGATTTAATAGGCATAAAATTCAAATCTGTAGTCTGTTCAATAGCAGTCACCTTACTCTCCCAATCCTTGAATAAAGCATTCAAAATTTTTCTATTTTTCTCTCCTAAGGAGTATTACTTTTCTAGAACCTCTAAATCCTTAATAAGATCATTATATTTACAATACATTTTATTAATATTTTCATGAGATTCCATCTTAAACGACTCATATTTAGTAACTAAAATATATTTCTTTTATTCTCTAATATTCTCACTACCTTCATGAATTTCTCTCAATTTGTCCCAAATTTCTTTAGTTGACTTACAACCCTTAACTCTAATAGATTCATTTGAATCTAAAGCACTATATAATACATTCATAACTTTTGCATTTAATGTGAGATGCTTTCTATCATCTGCAGTCAATTCATTTCTTGTTTTTGGTATAGATTTATGAGTGTTTTCATCTACTATAGAGGCATCATATGGACCTTCACTAACAATAAATTACAATTTAATATCAATCGATTGTAAGAAGATAATCATTCTTTTTTTTAACTCACATAATTTGACCCATTAAATATAGGAGGTCTAATCACAAATTGTCCTTAAAAAAATATAGCATTGTTGGTTGTCATGTTTACTCCTAAGCCACTTGAGTTTAATTTCTAGGAGACCAAATTCTGATACCAATTGTAAGGATCGAAAATAATCTAAGAGGAGGGGTGAATTGGGTAATTTAAAAACTAATCAAATTATGAGAATTTTTTTATTCAATATGAAATTTACCCTCTTTTTTAGGTGACCACACAATGAAATAATTAGTAAGAAAGCAAGATTGCTTATGAGTAGAAGAGATATGCAATTTAAGAATCACAAGATAACAATAAGTAAATAAGAAAGGAGGAATTACAAACCAATTGACTACCAAGCTCCTTTTGAACTTGTAGATCAATTCAAACAAACTTCTTTCTTGAAGTTGATGAAATACAACCAATCTTGTGTACAAAAGAAGGCTCACTTCCTCCTTGCCCCAAGTTCCACTCGGTTAAATTAGAAAGTTTTACTATCCCTCAGGACAACCCTCACAGAACTACACTATTGAAGTATTCATTCACAAATGAAAAGATTACAATGAATTTCACACCACCAAGACTACAAATCTTCTTTGGAGAGTGTTTTCTCACTAAAACTACTCTATATCTTTTTTATTTGCAGTGTGCAAAAGTTGTTTGAAATTCCTGACCATGCTCTATTTATATGAGACCAAAAAAGTGCTTCATTAATACTTCCAACGGATAGAAAGTAGCTGAAGAGTCAACTAGCCGTTGGGAGTATCGTACGTCCGGTACTACCGTTGTTTGAGTCCGATAGCACATAGAGAGATTGAAAGATCCTATCAGACATCCAGTACTTCCGTCTGATAGCAGACAAAGAGTTTGAAAAATTCTATCGGATGTCCGATGCTTGCGTCTGACAGCTTTTGTCTTCCTTTTTCTTCTTTCAAATGCTCTTGTCTTTGAATCAAATTGCTTCAAGACTGAAAGAATTTCTTAGAAAAGATATTAGTACTATCCAATTGTTTTTGTAAACATCAAAAGACAGGGATCAAGATCAACAATTTTTCATACATTTAATAATAAATAACTCAAATAGAATGTCAAAACCAAGAGTTTCCCTGTATAGTAACTGTAGGCATTTTGTGGAGTTATCATGCATGTATAAAGGCCAAAATTGGCTTAAATAATCACAAATACATAACCCAATGTCATAAGAAATTTATTAAATATGCTTAAATGCCCACTATTATGATATTCGATATGTGACATAAAAATTATCAAAAATTATCAAAATCACCAATTGAGTATACTAACAACAACTATGCTCCATTTAATGAATTTTGACAATAACCAAGTTTATAGCAACCATCCATTAGCAACAATAATCCACATTTAACTATAAACACGATTAAACAAAAATTATCCCAATAATTCACAAAATTTATCAAAATTACTCTCTATACACAATATACATTCCAAAACATCATCACCTAACCATTTGTAGGCATAATCATCCATATACAAGGGCTCAATAACAATCTAATTTACTTTTCTAATTTTTTTCTCAAATATAGCAATTTACAAATTAAAACAACTAATAATCCATCAATTTGCTACATTTGAACATGTAAACCAGCTTAATTAATTATAATAAGCATATTGGAGGCCAAAAACATCAATACATATCATCAAAAATTCGAAATTAAAAGATGTCAGAAAACTAAGAAAATTGAAAAATATGAACTTCTAAAATACGAAGATTTGATGAAGAAACTTACCTTAATCACATAGAAGGATGTTTGGAGATGATGGTTATGCAAAAAGTCCTATGAAAAATACCCCAATTGAAGAAATTAAGAACCGAGAACCCTAGCCCCAAATTTCTTAAAAATCGAATTTTAGTTTTTTTCTTGGATTTCAATATGTTAAAAAGACTTTATGAAGGCTAAATGATGATGGGTTGATATTTTATAGTAAGAAAATGAAATAAAAAGTGGAATTTTGTGAAGATGTGCATGTGAGGATGAAGAAAAATGCGAGAAGCAGGATGAATAAGAAGAAAACTGAAGCTAAATGTCGCGTTTTTCTCTTTAAATCAAGGATGAAATCACGACTGTGCAAAACGTGACCTTAAGTTGCGTTTTTAAAGGTTGTGTTTTATGGGTTATTCTTGCAGAATGGAAAACGCGACTTCATGAATACGCGACTCTAAGTCATTTATTGAAGTCGCGTATTCTACTTAATTCTTGCAGAAATCAAAATGCGATTTCATGAATACGCGACTTCAAGTCGTATTTTCTACTTTAATTCTATAGAAATCAAAACGCAATTTAAGGAATATGCGACTTTAAGTCACGTTTTCTTGGGCTCCACGTTTTATTTTGCAAAATTTGCAGAAATGTTAACTTTTTAAAAGTACACATGATATCCCAATTACTCAAAATGCTTTCTAAATCATTATTTTGCCAAAAATATCATTGCATGCATATGTAAAATGATCAAAATATGCATTTTACCTCATTTTAATGAATCAAAAATACCTTTTACGCAAATCGAGGGGTTGAGTTCTTTGATCAAATTTCATTTTTTTCGTCTCAAATGGTCATCTTTGCTTCCGTTTGCCGAACCTACAATACAAAAATAACAAACTAACTTAAATACATGCATTAAATACAAAATCATACCAAATTAACATATATAACTCAAACATTGGGTTGCTTCCCAACTAGCGCTTTTGTTTATAGTAGATGGCTCGACTCAAAAGATTTGGCTCATTAAGTTGAAGAGAGTCATCCAAATGACATATGAGTCCTTTGGGGACAATTTCACCCGCCAAGTAGGATTTTAATCTTTGTCCGTTGACATTGAACAGCTCATTTCTTGCATTAACCACCTCAACGACCCCATAAGGAAAGACTTGAGTGATTTCAAATGGTCTTGACCATCTTGATTTGAGTTTTCTGGGAAACAATCTAAGGCGTGAATTGTACAAGAGCACTTTTTGCCTCATCTCAAATTGTTTAGGTATAAGATGCTTATCATGCCAATATTTGACTTTATCTTTATAAATCTTAACATTTTCATAAGCATGTAGCCGGTGCTCTTCAACATCTGCAAGATTAAAATCCATATTAATTGTTTTAATAGTCCAATATGCCTTATATTCAATCTCTACAGGTAGATGAAAAACTTTTTCAGATACTAATCCATACGGCGACATCCCCAAAAATGTCTTAACTGATAAACCCATAGTGCGTTGTCGAGTTTTTTTGCCCAATCTTTTCTTAATTTGTTCACAGTTTTCTCCAAGATGAGCTTAATCTCTTGATGGGCTAACCCCACGTGTCCGTTTGCTTGTGGATGGTGTGGAAGTGATGTCTTGTACTTACAACCATACTTAAGCAACAAAGAATCAAGTTGTTTATTATAAAAGTGTTTTCCTTCATTACTTACTATAGTCCTAAGGATATTGAATCTACTGAAAATGTTCTTTTTAAGAAACTGAATTACCACCTTAGTATCAGTAGTAGGTGAAACAATTACCTCCACCCATTTAGAAACATAGTCGACGGCTGCTAAGATGTATTTATTATTAAAAAAACTAAAAAATGGCCCCGTAAAATTCATACACCACACATCAAATAATTCTATTTCTAAGAAAGTAGTTAAGAGCATTTCATTTTCTCTATAGATATTTTCGGTTCTTTGGCAAGCATCACAGTTTTTAACATACTCCCTAACATCTCGATACATGGTAGGCCAATAAAATTCTGATTGCCACACCTTAACTATGATCTTAGAAGTGCTAAAATGACCACCCATTTCTAAGTTATGATAATGATATAAAATATCACGTACGTCATTTTCGGGAATGTATCTACGAACCATACTATCAGCACAATGCTTATAGAGCAATGGTTCCTCCCAAAAATAATTTTTAACATCATGTAAGAATTTTATATTTTGGTAAAAATTAAACCCTTTAGAAGTATTTCACTTACCAAATAATTAGCAAAGTCCGCATACATGGAGAATTGATAAGTGTTAGGACAAATTCATTCGAAAAATTATCTTTAATTGGAATTTGGTCATTTGTCGGGATATACTCTAGTCTCAAAAGGTGATTTGATACAAGGTTCTCTGATCCTTTTTTATCCTTAATTCCAACATCAAATTCCCGCAATAAAAGAATCTACCGGATTAGACGAGATTTTGCATTTTTCTTATGCAGTAAGCAATTAAGAGTTGAATGGTCCGTATAGATGATAACTCTAGATCCTATTAGATAGGATCTAAATTTATCTAGGGCAAATATCACTGCTAATAGTTCCCTTTCCGTAGTTGCATAATTGAGTTGCGCCTCGTTTAGCAATTTGCTAGCATAATAAATAACATACATCCTTCCTTCTTTCTTTTGCCCTAGAACTGCTCCAACCACGTAGTCGCTTGCGTCACACATCAATTCAAATAGTAGCGACCAATTCGGTGAAATTATAATAGATGCGGAAATCAATTCCTTCTTTAACCTATCAAATGCAATTAAACACTCATCATTAAAATGAAAAGGGGTATCTTTACATAGTAAATCACACAATGGCTTTGCTATCTTAGAAAAATGTTTAATAAAATGTCTATAAAAACCTGTGTGTCTAAGAAAATTTCTTATCCCCTTGACATTGTTTGAAGGTGGCATTCACTCAATAATTTCTATTTTTGCTTTGTCTACCTCAATTCCTTTAGAAGAAATCTTGTGCTCTAGAACAATTCCTTTACGAACCATAAAGTGGTATTTCTCCCAATTTAGCACAAAATTTGTTTCCTCGCATCTCTGCAAAATTAAATATAAATCAAGAAGACAATGGTCAAAAAATGAACCAAAAAATGAAAAATCATTCATAAAAATCTCCATAATTTTCTCAATATAATCAGAAAATATGGCCATCATGCAACGTTGAAATGTAGCAGGAACGTTGCATAGACCAAATAGCGTCCTTCTAAAGGCAAAGGTGCCGTAGAGGCAAGTAAATGTGACTTTTTTTTTATCTTCCGAAGTTATAACTATTTGGTTATAACCTGAAAATTCATCAAAAATACAATAAAGTTCATAACCAATTATACGTTCTAATAATTGATCAAGAAAGGATAAAGGAAAGTGATCCTTTCTAGTAACTGTATTCAATTTCCTATAATCAATGCACACTCTTCATCCAACCACAAGTTGTGATGGAATCATTTCATCGTTCTTGCTCATTATTATTATGATTCCACCCCTTAGGGATAACATGAATGGGGCTAATCAAAATACTATCAGAGATGGGAAAGATTATACCTATATCAAACCATTTAAGAATTTCATTTCTTATCATCTCTTTCATATTGGGATTGAGTCTCGTTTGCATTTCCACCACTAGTTTGCAATTGTCCTCTAGCAAAATGCAATGCATACATATAGAAGAACTAATGCCTTTTATATCCGAGATTATCCATCCAATCACCCTCTTGTACTTTCTTAGAACTCTTAGTAGATTCGTACGTTGTTCCTCGTCTAGGTGAGCACTTACAATCACCAGTAGAGTGCTATTCTCTCTAAGAAATTCATACCTTAGATAGTTAGGAAGCGGTTTTAGGTCTAATTTTGGCGGTTTAATCTCCGAAGATGGTGGGAGTCCTTTTCCTTGACCAAGCATCTCATAAACATTATCTCTTTTATAAGGTGCCTGAAAATCCAAGTACTTGGCCAATGTTTCAATTTCTTCATCCATTCTCTCTTGCATCCCTACACTTGTTAAACAAAGTTCAAGAGGATCGAAGTCAAAGTTGAGTCGACTCAACTCTTGGGCTAGCATTTCAATAGTGGCAATGGAACAAGTATGGTTGGTAAAAGAAAGATATTTTTTTATTTCATTCAAGTTAAATATTACCTCTTCTTCACCTATTTTAAATTTGAATTTGTCATTTTTGACATCAATAATAGTACCCACAGTTGCTAAAAATGGTCAACCAAAAATAATTGGGATAGACATATCTTCCTCCATATCTAATACCACAAAATCCACAGGAATGATGAATTTTTGAACTTTAATCAACACATTTTTCAAAACTTTTAATGGATATCTAATAGACTAATCAGCTAACTGCAAAGTAATATTAGTACATTTTAACTCATACAAACCTAATTGTCTTGCCACAGTTAAAGGAATTAATGATACACTAGTACCAAGGTCACATAATGCCTTAGAAAATTGAATATTACCGATGGTGCAGGGTGTAGAAAAACTCCCCGAATCCTTCAATTTCGGTGGCAGCTTGTATTGTATGATGGCACTGCACCTCTCTATTAATGCTATCGTTACACGATCCTCCAATTTCCTCTTTCGTGTCATGATCTCCTTGAGTAAATTCGCATATGAAGGAATCTATAAAATAGTATCAGTGAAAGAAATATTAATATGCAATTGCTTCAAAATTTTGACAAACTTTTCAAATTATTTGTCAAGCTTATTTGGCTTGAGTCATTGAGGAAATGGAACTGCCGGAGGTATCGAAATGGTAGTGGAGGATGAAGGTTGGTCTTCTTTTGATTTTTCTCTACTACATTCCCCCACACTTACCTCTTGCTCTACTCGTTCATCTCTTTGTTTCTCACTCTCATTGTTCCCTGCCTTTTCTATCACCGAAGGATCCTCTAGTCGTTTACCACTATAAAGAGTAATGGTTTTGACATGTTCCCTCGAATTCATCTCCGTTTTACTAGGCAATTCTCTTTGACTTCAATTGTTAATAGAATTGGCTATTTGATCAATTTGGACCTTTACGTTTCTATATATCCTAGTCAATTGGTCCAACCGCCCCTCTAATCAGTCGAACCTTTGTGAAGTGCCCTTGGCTAACTTCTCCACCGTTATCTCCCAACCTAGTTTAGTTTTCACTTGTGATTGTTTTGGTTGAAATTGTGAGGACTTGCAAAATTCTTCTTATTTTCTTAAAATACCCTTTTATTTTGATTAAATTACTTTATAATATCTTTACTACTCATTTACTCCCTCAATAGTTATAATAAATCATAGAATCAAGGGTTGTACCTTTAGTTTTATAGTTAGCGTAAATTAGGGTTTTCGCGTATTTTAGTTGTGTAATCACTTGGTGAGCTGTGTGTACTAAATTTGGTGGATTAGAATGAGTATTATGTAAGGAAAAGTGTGTGATTAGAAGTGATAATAATAAGCTAGTGAACCATAAGTAAAAACACAAGTACGTGCGAGTTAAGGAAAAACGGCTCGAACCGACGTGCACTGTTTGCTACCGAATGAGTACACCACTTGAACACTACTTTATTACCTTAATCACCTTGCTTTTATTTCAGCTAATTAGCCCTAAAATATCCTATAAAGAAGCCAACATTTTTGACCAAAGAAAAGGAAAGAAAAGAAAAAAACAAAGAAGGGAAATCTTGGCTTGACAAGTGTCAAGGATCCAACCAACTTTGACCAAATTAATTTCCTATCTTCTTATCTTTCTCTTGGCTTCATTTCTTCTCCATTTCCTTCACCTTGACCAAAATTCTAGGGAAAGAAAAGAGAGAAAAACTTCCAAAAATTCCATCTTGATAGCTTGCTTGATTCTTCAGAAAAGTAAAGTGAAACTTGAATCCACTCCGATTAATCTTTGGGGAAGCTTGGAGGTGAGCTTGATGCAACTTTTAGGAGGAAAAAAGTCCTTGTATCACAACTTATTATGGGAATTATGAGGTATTATACTAGAAACCTCTCTTTTTCGTTCTTATTTTGCAATTGAAGCAATACATGACTTGATAGTGATGGATTTTATGGAAGATTTTATGGTCTTGGTTATTAGCTTATAATTTTCAACTAGGGTTTGTAATTTTTAGTTGTGATTAAGGTTGTTTATCTAGTATATGATGTTTATGAGCTTGGATAGGGACTTGAGATAATGATTAAAGGCATGAGTGTTAGTTTTAAACATTGAAACATCAAATTTCTAGCATTAATGATGAATCTGCCCTGTTTCTGACTTGCATATTCGTCCATGTTAGAGGCCGAATCAGGTCTAGGTCAAAACATGAAAGTTGTAGGGAATGGAGTTAAATATCTGGCTTTAAACTTTCAGTTTAATCATAGTACTGTAGCATATGAAATGACTAAAATACCCCTGACTGCCAAAAGCCCTATTTCACAGGCAGCTTTCTGTTTTCTCTGAGATTGCACATTTTGACCCTGAAAATGCACGAAC